GTCTTCTTCAGAGTTGCTGCAGCAGCAAGTGAAGGGGGCCCTCTTAACTGAGGATGTCGGCATCCCTCGCCTAGGGTCAGAGAGGGGGGCCCCCCAAATGCTGCGGCTAGCGAGGGGCCTCAGCAGTTTGCTGCTGCAGGGGGAGGGGGGGGCCCCCGTCTCCTGTGTGTTAGAGTTGGGGGCTGGGGTTTTTGCTTTTCTGCTGCTGCTGAGGGCCCCTGCTGCAGCAGCACCGTTCACTGTCTCCTGGAGAAGGGCGCTGCTGCCTCTGCAGCAGCAGCAGCAGCAGCAGGATGGGGCCCCCCAGCAGCAGCAGCAGCAGCAGAGCAGACGAAAGGGGGCCTCTAACGAATCCTCAGGGGCCCCCGGGGCCTCTCTATCAAAGGATGGAGGGGGGGGGCCCCAGGCAGCAACGCAGCAGGGGCCCCCCGAGGTACCCTGCACGCACATGAGCTTAGAGAGTTTCTTGGGGGCCCCCCCCCTCTCCTTCTGTGTGCTGCAGTACCCTATCGTGGGCCCCGAGAGGGGGCCCCCCGGCTGCCACTCTATTTGGTACAAAGCAGAGGTCGAGGCCCTATGGAGCTGCTGCTGGGGGCCCCCCTATCTGCTGCTGCTGCTGCAGGTACCCCATGCGGGCCTGGGGCCCCTCCTACGCCTCTCACTCACACCCCTGGGGCCCCCCGTCTGCTTGCCTGCTGCAGGGGGCCCCCCAGCAGCAGCAAAGGGGGGGGCCCCCCAAGACCCTAAGCAGCAGCAAAACGCAGCAACCCTCAACCTGGGGGCCTCCAACCTCCGCTCTCTCCCGCTGCTACCCTTCTTAAAGGTACCCCTTGTTGATTCTCTTCTGTACCAGCAGCTGCAGCAGCAGCAACAGCAGCAGCAGCAGCAGCAGCAGCAGCAGCAGCAGTATTACGTCAGCAGGTTCTTGCTGCTGCTAGAGGCTGCACTCCCAACCCCCTCCAGAGCCGTTCATTCTTCTCTAAGCATCGCAATGCCTCCTCAGGGGCCCCCGGGGCCCCCCGAGGGCCCCCAGGGGCCCCCAGCAGCCGAGGGGCCCCCAGCCCCTGACGCCTCTACAAAAGACCCAACAGGGGGGGCCCCCGGGGGGGCCCCCATGAACTCTCTCTCGCCTCAGAGGCCCCTCTCTGTTCAACCCCTTCCTCTTTCCTTTAAAGCCCTATGGCAGGGGGCCCCCGTGGGGGGCCCCGGGGGGCCCCCCGAGCTTTCTGACCTGAAGGGGGGCCCCTATGGAGAGGCCCTTCTTCTCTGCAACCACCGGATGGTGGTGAGGGGCCCCCAACCCGCTCGCTTGTCTCTCAGCCTCAGTGTAGAAGGGGGGCCCCCAGGGGCCCTGCTCTGTGCCCAGCTGCTGCAGCTGGTGAGGAGGGGGGCCCCCGAGGCCCCCAGGGAGAAGCGACAGACAGAAGAAAGCAGCAACCCCTCCTCAGACCAGCAGCACGACGGAGCAGCAGCAGCAGCAGCAGCAGCAGGAGCAGCAGCAGCAGCAGCAGCAGGTGGCAAGGGCCCCCCATCTACCCTGAAGGGTACAGCTGTAAGACGCCCTGCAGCAGAGACAGATGAGGGGCCCCCCATAAATGAAGACAGGCTGCAACCACCCGAGGAGCTGCTGCTGCTGCAGCAGGAGGCCCCCTGCTGCTGCATCTTTGCTGATGTTCACTTGCTGCCAGACAACAACTACCTGCTGCGGGCACACTACTATGAACCAGGGGCCCCCACAGACCCCAGCAGCAGCAGCAGCAGCAGCAGCAGCAGCAGCGGCAGCAGCAGCAGCAGCAGCAGCAGCAGGCTGAGCTGGGTGTTAGAGGCAACGGGTAGTGGTGAGGTATCAGTGGGCCCCGATATAACAAAAGAGGAAATAGCAGCAGCATGGAGAGAACCCTATGACCCTGCGAGGGGCCCCCAGGGGGCCCTCAGCAGAAAACTATACCTTCAGGGGCCCCCGGGGGCCCTCGCCAGGGGGCCCCTGCTCGGTGGGTATGTACCCAGCACCGCAGACAACCCGGGGGCCCCCAACCCCCTCACCCTGCAGCATCTGCTGCAGCTCATATACTGGAAGCTTAATATGTCGCTGCTGCAGTTCGTACAAGCCATCAAGACAGAAGCACAGCAGCAGCAGCAGCAGCAGCAGCAGCAGCAGGGAGAGGGCCCAGATGAGGCCCCCACCAGCAACGAGCCGGAGAGGCTCCCCTCTTGGAGGGGGGCCCCCCCAAAGGGGGGGGGGCCCCCCGAGGGAGAAGGGGGGGGGGCCCCCTTCGACTTAACGCAGCAGGTATTCTGCTGCAGCAAGCTGCTGACAGAGGGGCCCCTGGGTTTTTTCATTGGGGGCCCCGATGCCCTAGAGCGGCTGTACATAGACTACGTGGGCCCTGCTCTTGCTGCAGCAGGGGGGGGCCCCCTAACCCCGCAGCAGATTGCTGCTGCGCTTGAAAAGGGTGCAGCGGGGGGCCCCCCGAGAGGCAGAGAAGAGGAAGGGGGGGGCCCCAAAGGCGGTGCAAACAACAAAAGGGTACAGGGGGCCCCCGATAAGAAACCCAGGGGGCCCCCTGAAAAGTCTCGAGCTCCTGCTGCTGCCCCGGGGGCCCGGGGGCCCCCAACCAAGGGTATAAGAGAAGAAACAAAGAGAGACAGGGGCCTCTCTCTTCTCCCTGGTGAGGGGGGGCCCCTCGTACTCTCTTCTCCTCTGCAGCTACTCAGGGGGCCCCTGCAGCCTGAGCTGTACATACACCCCGAGCTCAAGCGTTTCGTCTCTAGCATTGCGGGTGAGTGTGCTTGGCGTGTTGTGGGGGCCCCCGTGTCTAGGGGGCCCCCCCTCTCCAGGGGGCCCTCAGAGGGGGCCCCCGAGGGGCCCCCCCTGAGGGGGGCCCCCTTCTCCTTGGACCTGGGGGCCCCACCACAAGAAGATACAGAAGAGGGGTTGGGGGGGCCCCCCGATGAAGATGCAGCAGAGACAGGGGGGCCCCTGCCTGAGGCGCTGGAGGAGGCTGTCTCTTACCTCAATGGTGTGCGGGCCCTGCTGCAGCAGCAGCAGCAGCAGCAGCAGCAGCAGCAGCAGGAACAGCAGCAGCAGCAGCAGCAGCAGCAGGAAGGGGCTGAGGAGGAGGAAGGAAAAGAGGGTACACCCAGGGTAGGGGGGCCCCCTGATCTGCTGCTGCTGAGCCCTCTATTGAGGGTTAGGGGCCCCCAAAAGGAGACACGGGATGCTCTGCGTTTGCTGCAGCAGCGGAGACAAGAGGTACTAGCAGCAGCAGCAGAAATAGTAAATGAGGAGGCCCCCAAAGAAATAAAAATAGATACTATAGAGAAGCTGCTGCAGCAGATGCAGCAGGCTAAGCTGAGGGGCCCCCATAAACAAACAGAAGAAAAACTCACAAATACACTCACACTCTTCAAGGCTACACAAAGGTACACCTGCTGCTGCTGCTGCTGCTGCTGCTGCTGCTGCTGCTGCTGCTGCTGCTGCTAATGTTGGTATGGGTGGTGCTGCTACTGCTAGTGCTGCTGCTAGTGTTGCTGTGCTGCTGCTGATAGTGCTGCTGCTGCTTATGCTGCTAGTGCTGCTGCTGCTAGTGCTGCTGCTGCAGCTGCTAATGCTGCTGCTCCCGCTAGTGCTGCTGCTGCTGCTGCTATTTCTAGTGTTGCTAGTGCATATGCTGCTGCTGCTGCTGATGGTGGTGCTGCTGCTGCTGATGATGCTGTTACTCTCACTGCTGCTGCTGCTGCTGCTGTTTTCCCTATTGCTGCTGTTGGTGCTGCTGCTGGTGCTGCTGTTGGTGCAGAATGCAGGACATATTGGAGAGGTCGGGCAGCAGCAGCAGCAGCAGCAGCGTGAGCAGCAGCAGCAGCAGCGGGAGCAGCAGCAGCAGCAGCAGCAGCAGCAGCAGTCCTTCAAGTAAGAAAGAGGATCGTCGGGGCCCAAAGAAGAGACAGGAGAAAGACAGCGACAGTCTGCTGCTGCTGTCTGCTGAGGAGACAGCTGAGCTCAGCTGTCTCCTTTCTGCAGCAGAAGCCCTCGAGGCCCTCCCCCCCCCCACGAGGCCCCTCTGTCCCCCTAAACACTCTTCTATACTTGCTGCAGCAGCAGAAGCTCTTGCTGCTACACATAAACCCTAAACCCTAAACCCTAAACCCTNCTATACTTGCTGCAGCAGCAGAAGCTCTTGCTGCTACACATAAACCCTAAACCCTAAACCCTAAACCCTAGATACTCTTCTGTTGTTGCTGTGGCGGCAGATGCTCTTGCTGCTGCACGCAAAGATAATAACACATAAACCCTAAACCCTAAACCCTAAACCCTAGGCACTCTTCTTTTGTTGCTGTGGCGGCACAAGCAGTCCTAACACAAAAACAAATAAACCCTAAACCCTAAACCCTAAACCCTAAACCCTACACAACGGCTGCACCTCTCAACGACATATGAATCCACCTGGGGGCCCCAAAGGGGCCTCAGGGGGAAACCCTAAACCCCAAAACCCTAAACCCTAAACCCTACGTATGTGCCTTATTAGGGATCTATTCGCTGCCTAGGGTTTAGGGTTTAGGGGGTTTGTTCTTTGGGGTCTCTGTGCCCTCCCATCACCGCGGGGGCCCCCCTGAACCAAATGGGGGGCCCCCGGCCGCCTAGCAAACCCTAGCGGAATAAATACAAACTCAAGGGGGGCCCCCAGGGGGGCCCCGAGGGGGCCCCCCCAGGGGGCCCCCCACCCTGCTTGATTGCAAGAGGGTACAGAAGCCCTCACATGGGGGCCCCGCTGGAGTTGCGAGTACCTCTGGGGGGCCCCCCGGCGTGGGGCCCCGAGGGTTTAGGGGGCCCCCTAGTGGGGGGCCCCGAGTTTTGGGGGCCCCCCCCTGGTGGGGCCCCCGAGGGTTTAGGGGGCCCCCTAACGTGTGCATTCCCTCTGGTCCCTGTTCGTGGGGGCCCCCCTCTTCCTCTATCCTTTGCTGCAGTGTATCTTCTGCGTGCACGAGGGGCCCCCCCCTCCTCTGTTGTATTGGGGGGCCCCTGCTGGGGCCCCTGCTGGGGCCCCTGCTGGGGGCCCCCCTCTGTGTCTAGGTTTACTTGGGGGCCCCACTGCTGCATTAACTGCTCGTAATATATTGCCTCCTCAGCCAGTAGGATTGCTAGTGCTGTTTCTTTCTCTTCTTCCTCTATCTCGGCGAGAGAGGGGCCCCTTGCTGCAGTACCCTGTACCCTTGCTGCTGCTGCGGGGCCCCAACAGTTGCAGCTAGGGTCATGCTGGGGGCCCCCACGAGCCTTCAGGGGGGCCCCCATACGAACTGTAGAAAGAGGAGCCTCAGCAGCACGCGCACGAGCATGCTGCAGCAGCTGCTGCTCTTGCTGCTGCTGCTGCTGCTGCCGCTGCTGCAGCTCCTCCTCCATCACCTGTCGAATACTTCTAGCTGGGGGGCCCCCCACACTTGCCTTGGGGGCCCCCCATACCCTCCTCTCTCCTCGGGAGTTGGGGGCCCCCTTAGCATTGGCCCCCCCAGACAAGGATTCCTGCTGCTGCTGCTGCTGCTGCTGCTGCTGCTGCTGCCCAGCGGGGCCCCCTTCTAGCTGCAGCTCATGCAGCCTCAGTGCCCTTCTGCTCGGCCTGACCCGCACGAGGGTTTCTAACGATATTTGATAGGGGGCCCCGCTCCTCGCTGCTGCTGCTGCTGCTGGTGCTGCTGCAGTTGCTGGTGCTGCTGTTGCTGCTGCTGTTGCAGCTGGGGCCCCTTGGGCCCTTCCCCCGTACGGCGCTGCTGCTCCTGCTGCAGCAAGCAGCTGGGGGGACGCACTTGGGGTTGCTGCTGATGCAGGGGGCCCCCGGGAGGGGGCCCCCAAGGGGGGTGGGGTTAGGGGGGCCCCCAGCGACTTGGGTAGTCGTGGGGTTGAAGCAGCAGCACGGGGGGCCCCCAGCTGAGGGTTTGCTGCTGAGCTGCTGGTATCGGGGGGGGGGCCCCCAGAGGCACGAGGTGCCCTGGAGCCCCGCGCTTGCTGCCACTCATCTGTCGTTTGCTGCTGCTGCTGCTGCTGCTGCTGCTGCTGCTGCTGCTGCTGTTGCTCGTTGCTGTATGGAGATGGGTGACGCTGCTGCTGCCGCTGCTGCTGCTGCTGCTGCCGCCGTTGCTGCTGCTGCTGCCCAAATACGGCGGAAGGGGTAGATGGAGATGCACCGAGTAGTTGCTGTTGCTGCTGCTGTTGTTGCTGCTGCTGCTGTTGCTGCTGCTGCTGTTGCTGCTGCTGCTGTTGCTGCTGCTGCTGTTGCTGCTGCTGCTGCTCTCCCCGTTGCTTTTGCTTCTCCTGCTGGTTCTGCCGTTTCTGTTGTTTGCGGTCCCTGTTGGGTTGCTGCTGCTGCTGCTGCTGTTGTTGCTGTTGTTGCTGCTGCTGCTGCAGTTGCTGCTGCTGCTCCTTCAAGGGCCCCCCGCCGCTCTGTGCTTCTGTACCCTTTTCTGTGTGTACGTCTGCACGGGTGAGGGGGCCCCCCTCAGCAGCAAACGCAGACAACCAGCTGTCTCTAGGGGGCCCCCTGATGCATCTAAACAGGGCCCCCGGGTTTATATAGATGAGGCTGAACACTGCAGGGAGGGGCCCCCTGCTTGGGGGGCCCCCCGGCTCAGCTGGGTACTCGTGGGGGCCCCCAGGGCCCCACACACATTCAGGGGGCCCCTCGATATCATATAAGAACTCCTCGGGGGCCCCCCACTCGGGGGGCCCCCCAGGGGCCCCCTGAAGGGCCTCAAGAGTACGGGGGGCCCTGCTGAGGGCCCCCCCCTCAGCTAGCTGCGCCAGCAGCAGCTGCATGCCTGCTGCAGTAGCCCGGTGCAGCAGCAGCTGGTGATGGGTATGGTGCTGCTGCTGCTGCTGCTGCTGCTGCTGATGGAGCTGCAGCAGCAGCAGCGGAAGGTTAAGCAGCAGAGCGCAGCAGCAGAAATCAAATAGCTGCTGCAGCTGCAGATGTGAGGATACACCCGAAAGCAGCAGCAACTCTGAAAGCCCACTGCAGCGAGAAGCAAGCTTGCTGCAGCAGAGATACACCAGAGAAGGAAACGAGTTTTC